GAACAGCACTCTGCACAGCACCTTGCACAGCACCTTTGCCAGACTTCGCCACCGCACTAGTACAGCACCCTGCACAGCAACCTGCACAGCACCCTGCACAGCCTCCTGCACAGCACCTTTGCCAGACTTTGCCACTGCAGTCTCACAGCACCGTGCACAGCACCCTGCACAGCACCTTTGCCAGACTTCGCCACCGCACTCTGGACAACACCCTGCAGAGCACCCTGCACAGCACCTTTGCCAGACTTCGCCACCGCAGTCTGGACAACACCCTGCACAGCACCCTGCACAGCACCCTGCACAGTACCCTGCACAGCTTTCTGCACAGCACCCCGCACAGCACCTTTGCCAGACTTCGCCACCGCAGTCTGGACAGCACCCTGCACAGCACCCTGCACAGCACCCTGCACAGCACCCTGCACAGCACCCTGCACAGCACCTTTGCCAGACTTCGCCACCGCAGTCTGGACAGCACCCTAAACAGCACCCTGCACAGCCCCCCTTCACAGCACCTTTGCCAGACTTCGCCACCGCAGTCTGGACAGCACCCTGCAGCACAGCACCCTGCACAGCACCTTTGCTAGACTTCGCCACCGCAGCCTGGACAGCCCTGCACAGCACCCTGCACAGCACCCTGCAGGAATTCGCCACCGCACTCTGGACAACACCCTGCAGAGCACCCTGCACAGCACCATGCACAGCACCCTGCACAGCACCCTGCACAGCACCTTTGCCAGACTTCGCCACCGCAGTCTCGACAACACCCTGCACAGCACCCTGCACAGCACCTTTGCCAGACTTCGCCGCCGCAGTCTGGACAGCACCCTGCACAGCACCCTGCACAGCACCCTGCACAGCACCTTTGCCAGACTTCGCCACCGCAGTCTGGACAGCTTTCTGCACAGCACCCTGCACAGCACCTTTGCCAGACTTCGCCACCGCAGTCCTGGACAGCACCCTGCACAGCACCCTGCACAGCACCCTGCACAGCACCTTTGCCAGACTTCGCCACCGCAGTGCAGAGCACCCTGCAGAGCACCCTGCACAGCACCTTTGCCAGACTTCGCCACCGCAGTCTGGACAGCACCCTGCACAGCACCCTGCACAGCACCCTACACAGCACCCTGCACAGCACCCTGCACAGCACCTTTGCGGGACTTCGCCACTGCAGTCTGGACAGCAGTCTGCACAGCACCCTGCACAGCACCTTTGCCAGACTTCGCCACCGCAGTCTGGACAGCACCCTGCACAGCACCCTGCACAGCACCTTTGCGGGACTTCGCCACCGCAGTCTGGACAGCACCCTGCACAGCACCCTGCACAGCACCTTTGCCAGACTTCGCCACCGCACTCTGGACAGCACCCTGCACAGCACCCTGCACAGCACCCTGCACAGCACCTTTGCCAGACTTCGCCACCGCACTCTGGACAGCACCCTGCACAGCACCCTGCACAGCACCTTGGCCAAAAGTTCGCCACCGAAGACCCCACCTTTGAGAAGTAAGAACCCCTATAGCTTGCCAGCTATCTGGGGAAAAAAAACAAATCCTGTGGCTTTCTCATCAGAAGTGCTTTCAGGATTTCACCATACCCTCGAAAGGGATTGATTACTAGGGCTTGCTTCCTGGGGTTACAACTATTCCTATCCCATTTAAGGGGAGACCATCTAGCAGGTCCTCCAAGGAGCGCAGGACTCCCCCGAAGGGCGGCGCACCAGCATCGTCCAGGCCCAAGTTCCAGTTCGCGACCACGGCCTGTCGATTCGAAGCAACTTCTGACATCCCAAGGCGCTTCGAGGTTAGAAATGGATAGAAATGGCCTATCTAAATAGTGTTGCCTGGCACCAAATATTAAAGACCCAGGGACCCAGCTATGGCCCCAAAGAAAGAACACATCCCGTACCAGAGGATTAGTATATTGGACATCCTCAACAAGCCCATCCCAATGTTTGCCTACATACATCGCCGATGACATATCCACATGTTTGATGGTTACACTTACACCCTGGACAAACTCATACGTTTATATATTATATACCTGTTGATGGTTACCCCCATATCATCATCGATTCATATCCAGTTGGTGAAATATGTCACATCCCCGTTGTTCATATGGCTTTGTCTGAAGAATTGTACCCCTAATATCCCAATTAATCTGCCGTTTTGGGGCTATACCCAATATACCCAATTCTCAGACACCATCATTCCATGAAATATCAAATATCACAAAATTATTACGGGTTATAATACCGGTTATACTGGTTATATCAGTTACCCTCTGGTAATTTAACATAACTATGGAAAATCACCATTTTCAATGGGAAAATCCACTATAAATGGCCATTTTCAATAGCTATGTTAGTTTACCAGAGGGTATATCCCCATAAAATGAAGCCAGAAGAATCCCCACCCCCTGCTCTTCCAGCCTCCAAATCTTGGACGGGTGACGTATGGATCGACAGCACTTCGCACCTCGCAGAAAATCTCGCTGGGTCATTGGGAGTTAAGCACCAAACATGGTGATTTACACCGCGAAAATCTGGTGTTGACTACTAAACATTACTAAACATGGGGATTTAAGCAACAAAACATGGAAAGTTTAACAGTTTGGGGATTCAAAGAACCAACATAGACTTCGTTGGGGGTGATTACAGGGAAATATATACTGGTTTCACCATGGTTACAGTGTTGACCATCAAATATGGGGGAAGGTCCCCTGGATATTCTGTTAAAACTTATAGCCAATTCTGGAACCGATTCATACTTCGCTTCAGAGATCATTTATGCGACGCCAGGCTCCATAGGCTCCCAGGCGCTCCCAGCCGAAGCGAGGCCAACACAGAAAATCCTCGCTGTTTCAGAGCATTTGTTGGGACCGGAAATTAGAGTAGCTGTGAATAGCTATAAACCGATTCAGAGGGTATGACTAGTAATGATGAATCTTGGGTTGAACAAGGGCTAAGAATTGTCAACGGGATATTTAATGGGATACCCTCCGGTGTCCTCAAACATGGCTAGGGAAATCCCCCAACTAAATCATCGAACCAACCGAAAGCCTGGACCTTCACCAGCCATGGGCGTAGCCGGAGACCCATGGCTGTGATAGGAACATCTCCACTTTTCTCCCATCGCAATGGATTGACCAGGGTCCACCCTATGATTCTTCACAGAAAGCGAACTTTGGAACATTGCGGGCTCCAGAAATGGGGTATTGAATACTCATGAATTCTCCATTTCGAAATGTGTCACTATGGAAAATGAAGTCTCTCGCAGTTGCCAGTTCAAGATGCTGGTCCCAGAGTCCCAGAGCTCCTGTGAGGCATTTCCTTAGGGAACTCCACTACAATCTGCTCCACCGGAAAAACTGGGAAAAATGGGGTGAATGGGGAGGTGCCAATGGTGCCAATCTCCTGACTGCATCCAATTTGGGAAACTGTTTGACACGTAGCCATTCACTTCAAGATGCTGGTCTTGCGGAAGCGAAAGTGGCCAGGTTGATGCCGCAAGTCTGACATTTCACCACCCCTGTCGAAAACAATCCCAAAAAGATGGAAAGTGAAATCCTACTAAGTTACTAGAGGTAGATTCTGTTCTATCGTTTTGGGGTTACTACATTATATATATATATTATATATATATAGTCTAGTTACTAGTTCATTCTGCTGGGTAAACACAAGCGTCACATCGGCATCACATCGGCATCACATCGGCATCCAAGGGACCATCGATGTGACCAAAGTGGCTCCATGGGAGAAGGTCATGCTGCTCGTCAGTAGGCTGATCTTGGGATGATTTCACTGATTTCACATGGAAAATTTTAACGGAGATGTCAAATCATTATAGAATATTATAGATCTCCAAATTGGGGATGATTTCACATGATGTTTGTCATCTGGCAGTGTGTCAAAACCTTGTACCCCTGGTGAACATCAAAATAGCTGGTAAATGGATGTTCATCCCACTAAAAATGGTATTAATAGGTATTGATCCATAGTCATCTATTTGTTCTTTGCATATCTAAGAATGTGTTGCATGACATGAGGCGATTTGGTCATGGTCATGGGCTGGAGCCAGTCATCCAGCTACGACATCAAAATCACTAAACAACGCCAGGTCAATCATTGAGGTTTTGGCTTTGACCGACTTCAAAACTCAAAACTCAACATCTCTAAATATGCTGTAGACATATGTAGACATCATCTCCTTCTAAGCCACAATCTCACTTTTTTTGGTGTATCCATTGCATTCCACTGCCCAAGGCCATCGGATCTCCATTTTTGGTCTGTGAACCCGGCTGCACAGCTCGGGGAAAACCTCTCCGTCGCCCGCGTCATCACGACTGGAACACATCTTTAGCGACGCTCGCCCAGAGCAGAAGCATGTCCAACGTACTCGAACAAAGAAAGGCGTACGGTTCATGGTGATTCAATCAAAAATAAGATTTCACCCCTGGAAATGGTGGTTTTGCGTTCAAGACATATTTGATCTACAAATCCGAGATGTGTCACAAATAAGCTTAGTACGTGACATCCCATATTTCATCTTCAATCATTTGGGAGACGTCCATAGTTGCAGCACTTGGTGTGTCACTTGATAGCTTAAAGACATCCGTCACAGGCTGTACTGTTTTTACTCACATGTTCCACGACATTTCGGGCCTTCAAACGGCCTGCTGCTCCACTCTTCAAACGCCGCGGGATGGAAACCTTCGCGGGACGACGACTCGACGCGATGTGGAGCACCGCGGCATCCACTGGCGTCAGCAGCACTGCTTGACGAAAAAATGGGAGGATTCGCCACCCTCCTGAGACTTCTTCCGAACGTTAAGTGCTGGCTCAATCTGTTGATGGACCATTGTAAAAGTTGGAATGGAAGCATATTAATGTATATATATATACTAGATCTAACATTGTATATACACTATTAAAAAACTGTATGTAATCATTGATCGTCATTGATCATTCTCAAATAGATTATTTTGAACTGATAAATGATTTTTCATTTGGTGAGAATCAAGCAGCCGTGCATGAATTATTCCTGAAAACATCATATGCCTGTCATATCATCGAGGAACGACGTGGCCCGCCGCTCCCCAAGCCCTGGTGAGGCGTCGCACTGAAATTTTTCTCAGTTGTACACGTACTTCTCCGCGATTTGGTAGATGATTTGCCAGTCCTCAGCATGTTTTTTCAGCACTAAGTATATACCCTCTGGTAATTTGTTACATAGCTATGGAAAGATTCACCATGCTATTAATGGGAAATCCACTATTTCTATGGCCATTTTCAATAGCAAACTGTTAAATTACCAGAGGGTAACCTGAAAATTTTGGTTCCCATGGCCTTTCAGAATTCTGGATCCACCGGTGGCACCAAGTGGCATAGACCACCGGAATGATGCCCATCATGCCCACGAAGAAGAAGCACAGGCCTCTGTTTCCCTTGATACGCCTCAGCTGCGGCAAGTCCAACATCTTTGTTCTTCTTGGGGTATCAAAACCCCAAATTAAATATGAGAACTATGTATGATAGATGTATATACATCTATCTAAATGTATAAATGTGGTATATAAATGTATAAATGTATATAAATGTATAAATGTATATAAATGTGGTATATAAAATGTTAAATACTGATGTTAAATACTGGTTATGTATATAATAGATGGGTTATCACATATTTTTCCCCTACTTTTTTTTACCAAACCCATCTGCACCGAGCGACGTGAAGAGGTTCATCGCAAAGGACACCAAGAAGCTATGCCTGAGCCCGGCATGGCTTCATCCGCCAAGATTTAAACCTGTAGTGGTAAATGATGTGCATAACAGTAATGGTAAGTTATAGTTTATAATGGTAAACCTATAGCTGGTTTGATGATAACCCCACATTATCCCACTATATGCTGGTTGGTGGTTGACCTAGAAAAATATCAGTTCGTCAGTTGGGATCATGAAATTCCGAATATGATGGGAAAGTCATAAAAGCCATGTTCCATAAATGATGTTTATACGAGGTTATACTGTTTACTGCAACCTTTTGGGTTGCAAAAAAAGTCTGGGCCCTCAAAATAAATAGATTCAATGTTGAATTGGTTGGTTTTTGGGCCGGGATCTAATACAAGGGGGATGGGGTACCTAGGGACCCACATGTGGATTGATTCCTCTGTTCCCAACAAGTCCTGCAGTGTTGCACTAGATCCAAACCGGCGAGACCTTTGGAAGGGCAGATCCACATTCCAGTGGTTCCAATATTTGGGCATGAATTCAAGACCTATTTCCATATATCAAAATAGCATCTGTTGGATGAAAATCCGTGAGGACCAGCTATTTTGCTTTGAAACGCCCCAAAAACCCACAGGACCAAACCATGCTGCATGGCAATGATCAGACTCCAGAACGCGCGCAATCGAAACCTGGGTAGCGGCAGCAGCATCGATATGTCATTAGCTGATTTTGGAGCGGAAAATAGGATCAGATTTTCAACTCTGAGATCTACCAGTCTTCTTCCATTGTTCAGTTGTGGATCAATCTTAGATCTCCCATTTCCAATCGGTGATCTTCCTGTTTAAATCCTCAAAATGCAAAAACGATGATGTTCCCCACCACAAAATTCCGGGCCTCCAACTTTTCTGTCTATGACTGGGGGTTGCTATGTATATATACATATATATATATATATATACATATATATTATTAATATATGATATATATTATTTGTATATGATAGTATTATATATATATACATGTATTATATATATATGTGTGTGTATTATATATATATGTGTATTATATATATATATATGTTTTATATATACATGTATTATATAATGTATTATATATATACATCAACACCATGCCCACCCTTCACCCACAATCTACTGGTCCCTTCTGGCCTTCCAGTGGCGGCTTGGAAGAGGTCATATGACACGTCCTGGACGGCCGCATTCCAGATATTCCAAGATGGGATCTCTGAACCCTTGGAATGCAACAGATAGACATTTTAGCTGTACCCTCTTGTAATTTAATAGATAGTAGTAGATAATAATAGTAAATAGTAGATAATAATAGATATATATATATATAATACATATATATATAATCCGGCAAGCCATGTTGGGTTGCGGGAATGTATGATTACCCTCTGGTAAACCAACAGTTTGCGAACTTGAAAATGGCCCATTTATAGCTGATTTGCCTATTAAAGATGGTGATTTTCCATGATGTTCCATAGTTATGTTAGTTTACCAGAGGGTCATCATACTGAACCATGCTGAACTGGAGTGAAACATGTGAAACTTGAACATAAGACCATCATACGACCCAACCATCACTTCTTGTTTGAGTGGAACCTCACCATTTCGGGGCAGGTGGCTACTGCTCCATCAACCCAAATGAGCAGTTGGTGAAAGTGGCAATTCTCAGCTTATGAATTGTCTGAATTGTGAAAAGCCTTGATAATCCCCAATACATTGGGTAATTAGTATGTCCAATCTCATTTGTTGAAACTGTCCAAATCTACCACAGGTTCACATGATGCGATGACATCCAAACATGCGGAGGCCTTGTACATGCCTAATGCCATCACAGAGTAGATCTTGCAGAGTAGAAACATGACCTCAAGCGCTGGTGAGGCACTGAAAACGGGTTCCTCTACAGATTTTGAGTAAGTATATATCTCTATATATATATATGTGTGTGTGTGTATGTACATGGGTCCAGATGGCGGCTTCTTAAAGTTGGGGTAGCCAAAACCATTGGTCCCCCAAACATTGGTTTCCCCCTTCAAACTTGGTGTCCAGAAATTGGTGTCAGAATTATCTCGCCTCTGGAAAAGGCCAAAATTTGGTCCCATGGACAGTCGTGTCTGTTCCAGGAGGGCGTTCCTAAACGCATCAAACTCAATATCAATATCTATATATATATACACTACTGCAATTATTGTCAGTATGCTTCTTTACATGCCAAGTCATCACAGATCACAAGTTTCATTGCTGTCAACTTTGAACTATGCAACGACGCCCAACGCCCAACGCCCAACGCGCAACGTGGGCGCTTCCCATGCTGATACTGGGCCTCCGGACCATGGTGTAAGTACTACATACCACTGACACTGAAGCAAAGATCATCTGCCCTTCGTACATCAGCCTGGCGACCCAGGAATGTTGACCACTGCAATGCCTTTGTGTTTTTGTGCCATATTTGGAGGTTCCAAACTACTCAAGTCTCAGACGTGGTGGTCTCCTGGGGCTTCGCACCTGTGCAGGTTTGGGTACTTCAAGCCTAGGATCAGCGGTGAGCGACCAAGAATGGACCCACGAAAAAGGCTTGTCATTTCTTGCATTTAACGATCCATTTTGGGGCTTGATAATTTTGAGCCATGGCCATATAACCACATGTTCGGCCTCCTGAAGTTATTGGTGGACACTCTTTTGAGGCAGAGGTGGAAAGAGAGCACCGCCCGTCTGTGCCAAAGAACGCTCATCCGTATCATCTGGCTCCGGTACAGACCCATAGAACCTCGGCATGGAAAGCATTGATCAACGGCCAAAGGCTGACCAGCGGTTGTATGGAGCCAGGGCAGTCGTGATTGTGCTCGCCAGGAGAAAGTCTTAAATTTCAGGCTTCAATAAAACTGGGACCTCTTACATCATGTGTATATATATATATACATGTAAATATACATAATATTTATAATATCATATATAATATATACTTATATATATGTAGATGAAACCCCAAGAAATTTCAATCCAGCCCAGGCCACTGCACCAAGGCACCCAGTGATGACTTGCAGCAAGACCGAGGCCACAATGGCATAGGTGTCCATTCCGGTGACCTGTTTTCCCCACGAAGATATCTGGTGCTTCTATGGCTATCCGTGGGTTGAAAACCTCAGGTTTCCCATGAGATGTCCATGACTGGGGCATCTATCTTTAGACACCCAAGTAAGTGGTGGAATTATCCAAAAACTAAGCTACAAAGATAGGAGTTTCACATAGTTTGAGCATCAAAAAAGGGGGTTTGTTGGTTGACCATCAAGAAAAGTTGGGCATGTCACAAACAAATATGAGATTCAATGGGAAAATTGGGGATCATACCCCCAGTGTGGATGGACAAGATCGAATAAAACCACTACGCAGCTGTGAAAATGAAACTCAGGAGATTCCGATCACTGGATTTTTTCCTTTGATTTGGTGAAATCAATATTAAACTAGTTTTGATCATTTGGATTCTGCTGTTTATCAAGTAGCCTCCAGTAAATTAACATGACGACCCTGCCAGTCATCGGGGTCGAAAGATCAATTTCCACTCAAAATTAGTGATTTTCAGGGTCAAACTGTTGATTTACCAGAGGGTAAATCTCATTATTAGTAAAAATTCACCATCAAAATCCCATTAGAAACCGATTAAAATCACATTTTTATTCCAGTTCTACTCATCTTTGGTGCCCCATCGGTGCGCCAAGTGACACGAAGCCCGGCACGGTCCAAGTTCTCTGGACCGATCCAGTGCACCTGCCGATGGATCCCAGAGGCACAATGGGTTAATGGTGAACGTTGGTGGTTTCAATCCCAACAAAAATGGAAAAATATATGGAAAAATAGTCCCAAAAATCCTTTAAAAAAGTTCCTAATATATAGTTGATGATTATTCCCAATATATGGAAAAATAGTCCTATATCCTATATATATGATGATTATTCCCAACAAAAATGGAAAAAATAGTCCTAATATCCAATTATGATGAAAACATTAATTGATGATTATTCCCAATATATGGAAAAATAGTCCAATATGGAAAAATGTTCCAAACCACCGACCAGGTTAATGGTGAACATTGGGTTAGGAATGGTGAATGGCATTGAATGAGATTGGATGATGATAAAGGTATCAAAGATAGCTTCAACTCTTTCACCCATGCCCCCAAAAAAAACATGAAGCAGTGGATTTGGGGCTGTATCTTGTGCTCTTGGCAAAAGAGGCCTTTCTTTTGTATGGAAGCAGGTGATCCGATCGAAATTCAGCCAGAAATGTGATCCTTCGGACCAGTTTCTAATTTTGATTACCCAAACACCTGTTTTTGTAACAGTTATATCAGGTTATATATTGCTATTAGGGATGCTAAAATATCTCCATGTTTTGGCAGCTCAAACAACTCCTTGACCATGAAACAAATCCATCCCGTCCCATCGTCGCCGGACCCTCCAGATCTGCAGGTAGCGGTGCAAGTGCAGGAATTGCCGCACCGGCACGGCGTCATGCTGAGCGCAGCGAGCGGGCTGGCTGTGGGCTGCCCTGGTGGATCATCCCCTGTTTTATCAACCAACCTTTTTATCATCAAGCCAGGTGGTATCCTCAACAGCAAAGTTGGAAAATGTGGAGACAACTGCAACCCCAAGGCCCCAAGGTCAAAGTCTTCAGCCACTTTCCACCCATTGCCCATCGTAGGTAAATGATTGCCACTTTTTGGGCTGGAAATTGGTCATGTTACCTCTATATTTGCCCCAATTTACCCTCCCAAACGTACCTGGCGTGGCAGGGGAGCAGCCATATCATCCAAATCATTATCCCCAATAATTTAATCATCCCACTCATAAGTGACTCATAAGCATGTCTACTGGTTGTTCCAACTATAACCATCCCAAGAATAGTCAGATATGCCTCTGTGTAGACGGTTGCTATATTATACCAGTCGATATACCATTTGCTATACACCAGATTATACATACATAATATATATATACACAGATATATATATATATACAGATATATATATATATATATATTACAGTGTATAAATGTGTATATATATATATATATGTATGCAGTGTGTGTATATATATATATATATGTTATGTACATATACACAGATGATGCCCGAAAAGGAATCTCTGGTATTCTTCGGTAACAAAAAAAAATCCTAACAAAAATCGCCCTGGGGGTTCGCTGGTCACGTGCCAAGCTTCGGGCAGCGCCTTGCGCCAGGCTTTGGGCGATTTGGGGATTGGCTCCACAGCCCGATGACCACCTCCCCAGGGCGACCAGTGACCGGTGGTGACTGGCCGGTGACCGGTGACCGGTGGACGAAGCCAGGAGATCTTGGGATTTCTTGGATTTTGATGCTGATGATATCTGATGATACCTGATGATATCTGATGATATCTGATTTTCATGAAGGTTTTAAGGACTTCAATGGCTGTTCATGGACTTTCATAGAATCTTAATGGATTTTAATGGATTTTTATGGATTTTTATGGAGTTTGATATGGAGTTTGATATGGATTTAATGGATGTTTGGGGATGTGTGTGGATTTAAATTTACTTTGAAACTGATTTGGATATTGGTTTTAATTGATGGATATGTCGATTTGAATGGATTTGGATACCTCCAGCTAATTAACAAACTGACATGGAAAAACACAATGAAAGTGCATGAAAATGTTCCGAAGCGGGAAACAAACATGGATTTCCATGTCGTTTTATGAATCTAAACGCAAATCCGGCCTGTAAGCTCCGTTGAGCAAGTGCTTGGAGTCCGGCATGCATGGAAGCATAGCAAACGCGAAGAGGAGAACCTGATGGTTCCGTTGCCAACCCCTTTGGGTTGTGAAACATGAGGGGTTCCTCTACATTAGCGAACTAGTATGAACTAGTGAGAAAAGAAGGTCTATGCTCCATGATTCTTTCGGCTGGAATAAATCCCGTTCATCCATCTGGGGCTAGGCATGGCTAAGCCCCATGTTCGACCATGGAAAACAAGGTGCCAGGCAACGCAAGAGCCAAGGAGGCGACAACCAAACGCGCCAAAGGGCCCTTTCGTGCCATGGCAACCAAGGAGTCGTCGAACGAACGGCGCCCGAAAATAAATTGAGCTGTTCAGCGGCGGATCCCAAGTGATCCGAAATCAGATGGAATAAGCCTTGGATCAACTCTGCATGTCTTTAGGTATCCTAGAAAATGAGACGGTTTTGCCTTTTGTTGCCAATGAAATTCGGATATATAAAATAATCATTAAAAAAGGATATGGTCGGCAGAAAGCTTTATAAATGTATATGCCTGATGAGACATCCACCAAAATGAAATGGTGTTAGACTCAAGAAACCACCAGAGCCCATGAATCAATACACAAGGACTGGCAACAGTCCAACTCGCAATAAAGATCGAGAAAACACACGACTATTGTGATAGGATCCATTTTCCACGGCAGGACAACCTGGAATCTCTTCGTCAAACACATGTTCTTCCAAGCTCAATCTTCGTCGCCTTGATATTCTTCGACCATGGATGATTTTATCCCAGGATGTTTCGACCATGGCAATTTTTGTCTAAATCATCGGTTCTTGTTGCTGAATAAAAACCATTGTAAGAGAACGGATACACCTTCATTCTGAGGAGGAGCAATATTTGCACACCACTCATTTCGACAGATTTCCGATTTGCCAAAGGTTGCAGTACAAACTCCAACAAACAGCACGTGCAACTGTACGAATGCCGTCTCCAACGAAAAGTCGAAGAGTCATAACTCTCGCGGCTCGTAGTGTTTTTTGAATAGCGCACGTCTGCCGCTAAGGATTTTGAAACTACATTCATCATTTCTTCCATCGGTTTTCGCCCTGGGTTTTCCTTGGTTTAAAGTTTAAACAACAGAAATTCTGCAAGATTTCGCAGCTGCCATTTTTTCCCATTGCCCTGCCGCACTTTGCCGCGCCGTGTTGCGTGGCCACTCACGGACTGGGCGTTCGGACCTTGCAGCGGATCTTGGTGCAGCCAGCACCCAGGACCTTGGAGATGAGAATCATCAACCAATTGGGGTTCAACCACTCAACCAAAATGGGATGGTTGACTTTCAAAAGTGAGAAAAGTGTCACTCTCAAAAAAGTCCGTGGGTTGTTTATGTTGTTTTGACATGTTTTGACCATCATGGTTTTCGGGTGTAGCATCAAAAATTGGAGCTCGTTAATCCGTACTTGGCATACAAACCATCCACGAGTGGGGTTTTAACCAACCATAATGGAGAGATACCCCCAATGAAATGGCATGCATCCCGATCACTCCTGACAAGCATTTGTAGACTCTATTTGTGACCCTTTCAGTGCTAGACATGATGCACATTAGCACCGCTTTTTGAAGTCAGAAAGACCCCAAGTCAAGATGTGTGTCAGCTATGCATTGTCATTCATTTTCTCCCAGCAAAATGGCCCACATTTTCGACATCTTCTTGGATTTTTGATTTTGGGTATACCGTATACCCCAATTTTTTCTGGTCATATCAAGTTCTCGAAGGTATTGCACAATACAAAGCAGCCAGAATCTAGTTGCAACGTTCAGATCTGTCAGGATTTTCGTGGCCTCATATCAAGCTGTATCTATTATCACCTACATTTCCAAGTTATATCAAGTTATATCAAGCCGTATATCCCACGTTTTTCCCCATTTGCTTCGCGCACATCACTTCCGCCAGTGTCCCACGTTGTGTCCAGCGGCATCGCCGTCCATGATGGGATGCCAGCCGCTCTCCTGTCGCTCGGCACTCAAACGCAGGCAGGTGCCGTTGCAGCTTCCGAGGTCCTCGGAAGCTGCAAGGGAACGAAGGAATCACAACGGGACAAAAATTCTGAAACGAACAGAAGCCGATCATAGTTTAACCACTGTAAATGGTGATTTTAATGGTGATTTAATGGTGATTTAATGGTGATTTAATGATTTAATGGTGATTTAATGGTGATTTTAGTGGTTTAACAATGGGTTAACAATGGCTTAACAATGGTGAATAATGGGATGAAAATGGGATATTACCCTCTGGAATTTTAACATATGGAAAATCATCGTTTTTAACTGGTTCAACTATAAATAGCCATTTTCCATAGCTATGTTTAATTGCCAGATGGTAAGTTTCACCCCATAGCGTTCAGTTGCCGAAAAAAAGTGGCTGAATTCTATGGCAACTATGGTTTATGGTAGATATAACTATAGTATTCATGGGGTTTATAAACCACCAAATATGCCGGATTAAGGCAGCATTTCTCATGCTAGTGCAATGGGGATGTATTGGGATACCAACCGTCAAAAATAAGGAGTGCATTTTGTAGTTCAGCAGTTTGCTATGTGGAAAATCACCATGCTTAACTAAATCATTGAACTAAATGCGCCATTGTCCGTGGCTATATGTATAAATTCCTAGAGGCTACGCCCCGAAATTTCACATGGAACCCATGGCTATTTTGGCGCCAATGGCGCTCCTCCCTCACCAATGGCGCCATTGGATAGTGCAAGTGTTTTGGAGAGGGGCCAATGCCAGAAAAAATGATGATCACAGTGGTAGTATGGGTTGGGGGAAAATTTCAAGGTGGCTCAAGTTGCCTTACATTCAACAAGATGATTTCAAAAACCTCTGGGTGATCCCTTCCTTCCTGAAGCAGCCCTTAAAAAATGCCGATATGGGTGTGTATCTCACGGTAGATACCCCAATCCCAGGGATGATAGACCATAGGATGGAATGGGGTTCCAGATTTTGGGGCAACCCTGTATTTGCTAGATATAGACAACCCTACAGTTCCCGGTATCGAAATTTTGGGGCCATCCCATTCGACACGCACACACATGGGAAGAACACAGCGTTCCCTCCTGGCTTATACCCCTGGCTTTGGTGCTTGAACCCAATTTTTAATGGTTGAAGTCCACTCCCAATTGTTCATGATGAAATCCCATTTGTCATGATTGAAGCATTCCATATTTTTTTTCTGCTGCGGCACGGTGATGTAGAAGCTCCCCTGCTCCAAGAAGATCATGGCATGGTGTGCAGACACCGTGCCTTGAGGCGGGAGCTGATGGCACCAGCTTTCTGCACCAAGCAGTTTATAAGACATGCACCAGTAACTGTTGGTTTATCCCATTATAATCCCATTGTTTATAGTGTTTTATGTCATGATGATGGTTGCGAAATCCTACACCAGTTGGTAACTATTGGGATTCTGATGAAACACAGTAAAAAGAACGATTATAAATTACGATGGGATAAACCATCTACCAACTGGTGCAGTATTTCTTCCACAGTATATATGATTGGGTACTTGGTCTCAAGTCTCAAAGTGTTGGATTTGACCCATACTTCAGGCTGTACCATACCATACTCCCAAGAAAGGTGTAAAGGTGTAAAAAATGACCAGTAGACACATATTGGTACAGAATTGCTCATGACATCAAAATCATTGCCATTGCCATAGTTAAAATGTTGATGACAATTTTCGAGAACCCGTTTGGTTATTCAACATAGCCATGGAAAATCACAATTTTTAATTACGGTAAACCATCTATAAATGGAACATGTTCCATGGCTATGTTAAATGCCCAGAGGGTATATCCCATTATCATCCCATTATTCACCATTGTTAACCCATTGTTAAACCACTAAATCACCATTAAACCACCATTAAATCACCATTTATAGTGGTTAAAATCTGTATCATCTTTGCCCTGACAATGCTTTTTGCCAGCCCCCATTTGGCACGCCGGGCAAGTTGCCATCTTGCACCAGGACCAGTGCGTTGTCAGCAACTCGTCCAATGGTGATGCCAGCAGGTGGGATCGTCACCTTGGGTCACGTTACGGTCACGTTGGGACTATGGACCTATGGACAGAGGTAACCCCAAGGTGGGATATAAATATTATGTATATATATATATATATCATATCATATCATATATATATGATATGATATATATATATATGATAAATATATATATATATCATATATATAGATGATATGATATATATGATCTATATAACTATTGTCCATATGATGAAAAAACTGAAAATTATTCACTTAGTTCACTGCACTCCGAAGTTGCCTAAGATTTGGTCACCAACAAATGATACGCAGAGCTGTGTTCGGACCGGACCCCGCACCTTGTGGCCAGCCAGGGGGCCTGGAAACCATGGGAACCCAACAATAAACCCACCGTTTTGGGGACATGGTAAAATGTGTTAGATGGATTTATAACATGTAAAATATGGTAACTTCACGTGTGAAAAATGTTTTTTTTCGTTTGGAATCTGTCCCAGCCCACCTTCGGTGAACAGCACGGTCAGCTCACCGGCGCTCTGAGACAGAACCTGTGGGGCACGGGCAACACGGGAAACACCAGTCCCGTGTCTCAGGGACTGTCATGAAAATGTCATTAAGAGGGATATTTATATACTGCTACTTTGATTTGATGTGGTCCTATCCCATCTCTAAAGCTGTGGTTGTTTTTTGTGGGAAATGTGAACATTACGGAACCAACAAACAAGTCTCTGACCCGCCTTTTGAACCAGGTTCCAGGGTTCCAGGGTTCCACCACTCCTAGACCCGATTGAAACCCAACAATCACTGCTGGAATCAGTGCCTGAGGGGAGCCATGGCCCAGAGCCTGGTCCCCACTGCATGGCGCCTGCATCTCCGTCTCACCAAGTTTGACCATGAGCCCAGGAAAAATCTGGAAATGACCTTGCCGCGGGATGTTACTGGGAATGTCCAAACAAGTTGATTCAGGAACGTCCAACATCCAAAAAAGCATGCTTCTTCTGGGTCTCTGAGCTGTTTCTATAAGATTTGTTTCTCCAATTCCCATATTCAATGAATTGGTTTACGGAAAATACCGGAAATTCAAGGCACCGTGGGGTCGAAGGTAGAAGAAACTGCCGGTGGTGGAGCCCAAATCCTTCACACCGAACTGACCATCACAGAACCTCACGGATCACTTTGAAAGCCAAAAGAACTGGTGGAAAACTGTGGAAAATAGTGGAAAATGGTGGAAAATTGTGGAAAATGGTGGAAAATGATGGAAAACGGTGGAAAATTGTGGAAAATTGTGGAAAATAGTGGAAAATGGTGGAAAATTGTGGAAAATGGTGGAAAATGATGGAAAACGGTGGAAAATTGTGGAAAATTGTTGAAAATTGTGGAAAATGGTGGAAAAATGTGGAAAATGGTGGAAAATAGTGGAAAACGGTGGAAAATTGTGGAAAATGGTGGAAAATGGAAAACGGTGGAAAATGGTGGGAAATGGTGGAAAATGGTGGAAGATTGTGGAAAATGGTAAAATGATGGAAAACGGTGGAAAACGGTGGAAAACGATCGAAATCCATAGAAATTCCCAATGCGATAAAAGCCAAAGGGGAAAGTTTTGAGACAAACCCAGATACAGAATAGAATTGGGCGAAAACGTGCGTTGATGTCTTTGGCCTACCAATTTTGACCAGAACCAAGTAGGGAAGGAAAAAAGGGCAATCAAACCCACCTGAAATGCCTATTGACTGTTAACCAAACAACAATAAATCATAGGACTTTTCAGGGGATTCAATGGAAACACCCACCAATACTAGGGATATTGAAGCAGAACGTGCCAAGAGATTAAGGAAAAATTCACATTCCTCAAAAAACAATGGATGCTTTCACCGGGGGCGGGGGGGCACCTGTTAAAGATGGTCAGCCAATTTATGGTTCGATTGAGTCGATCCCCAACGAGATCCCTGGATTGCCGCACGTGATCTCGCAGTGGAATCTGCTGATGCCAGCCTCCGGAATCACCTAACAGCGCCAGATTTCACAGAGATCCTCTGGGGAAGGTTGCTGACATGGTGAGTCACTGCTTGAAAATGATATATATATATATATATATATTGTGAAGTTTGAAGCTGCAACCTGTGAACATGTGACTCTTTTGTTTTCCGCCGCTGTTACCAATCAACAGTGGTGGGCAGTTTAAGCCACTACATGGCAATCGCCTTGCGGCCCCTCTCGAAAAGGTGCTGCAGCGCTTGGGCGCACTTTGCGTTGGGTTTGGACTTCGTGGGCCATAACCTCCAACTTGACATTGGTAGCGGAGCTGATCGAGCCCTACCTTGTCTTGCACTGCTCTGGCCTTGTGCTGGCCCTTGGTGGACACCGACTTCTCGCTGCCGCTCACTGGCCCTGTGCAGGCCTTGCTCTGGTTTCTGGATCTGGCCTTGTGCTGGCCTTGCGTCTTTGCGCTTCCGATCTGGCCCTGGGCAGGCCACGCTGCATTCAGGTCCTGAGCAGGCCTTGACTCTCTGCATTGCTGTTCTAGGCCTTGTGCTGGCCTCTTGCTGTTCTACCTGGACGAGCTCTGGTGTGGTGGCAACTGCGTGCCTGGTGATTGACTACCCGGCCTACTACCTGGTCTACATCCCCTTCACTGCCTGAGGCAATGTCGGCTGGAACTGGATCGGCGAGTACCGCCGGAGACTACAACACCACGAAAGACTCCTACATCCCGCTGTTTAGCGGTGCACCCTCCGACTACAAGGAATGGAGGAAGAGGATAACCATCTATGTGATGAAGATGAGGGTCGCCAAACGAGAACCTGAAGGACTTCTGAGCATCATTGGAAGCCTCACTGGCACAGCATGGAAGCTTCTGAAGAACTTCCCCATCGACGAGATCGAGAAAGCGGGAGCCTTTGAGAAGATGTTGAAGATTCTCGACAAAGCCTTTGAGTATGACCGGACGGTCCAGCTTCCGAGCCAACTTCAACGGCGACCTGGTCTGCAGACCCTCTTGGAGTACACGACCGAGCACGACCACCTCTACAGCAAGCTGGCTGACCATGATGTGACACTTCCATCAAAGGTCCAAGGATGGCATCTGCTCCGACGAGCAGGCCTTAGCAAAGAGCAGAAGCAGCTGGTGACCACTCAGGCGCCCAACATGGAGCGGAACAAAGTTCAGGAAGCCCTCTTTCTCATCTTGGGTCAAGACCACAAGACTGTAGCTGGCGGAGGACATCACCATGCCCAACACCGTGGTTTTCGCGGTAAGGGACGTGGCTATGCGGTCTACTATGAGGACGACAACCAGCATGACGCTGATGATTGGGCTGATGACATCGACCACAACCATGACTATGAGGAGGGGTACTACGAAGATGAGGCCTACTTCCAAGATCCATCGCCCACAGCTGCTGACAGCTACTATGATGAGACTTTTGAGGACTTCGACAACGATGCCGCGTACTACCAGACCTTGGAAGATGCAGATCCCTCTGAGCAGGCTGAAGAATATGACTCAGCCTACGCATCGTACATCGATGCCCGCAGACGCTTCAACGAGATCAAGCTCAGCAGAGGATACTTGCCGATTGTGGCATTGACTGATGGAGGCAACCCGGCCTCACCATCTTCCTCCTTGTCACCGGTCTCTCCGGGACGCGGCAAGGGCAAGACCAAAGCAAAGAAAGGAAAGGGCAAAGGAAGCTCCACCCTGGTGAAGTACCCTGCCAGGGGCAACGGGAAAGAACCCGATCCAAAAGGGAGAGCGAAAGCCAGTGGAAACACGCCCACCTGCCTCAGATGTGGCCAAGTGGGACATATGACCTACAACTGCCCTGTGCCCAAAGCTGGTGGTGGTGCATCCAAGCGCAAGACGGCACCTACAGAAAGCACCGTTGGTGACGTGGAGCACGGCCATGTGATCTTCACGGACGACCATGGGTGCGAGCGCCATGACTGCGCAATGTTGGACCCTGGCGCAAGTGCCTTCTTGTCAGGGTACGGTCCCTTCTACCGCTACTTGCTGAAGCTCAAGGAGACCGACTACGACATCACCAAGATCAAGTTCATGCGGTGCAAGCGCACCTTCTACTTTGGTGGTGACGCCAGCTTGGAGTGCACCTGGACTGTTCGCCTTCCCCTATGCATCGGTGGCAAGTACGGCTATGTGCAGATGTACCTGCTGCCTGGTGAAACACCTATGCTGCTTGGAAGACCGATCATGGAATCCCTTGGATTGGTCCTTGACTGCCGCAGCCGCATGATCAAGCTTGACGACATGCCCTGGCAACATGCTGTGGTGGGTGCCCATGGAGAGTACCTCATCTCCTTGCTGAACGAGTTTGACTCCAGCATGTGGCAATTTCCACCTGCCTTTGAACTTGTAGTGCCCGCTGATGGAGGAGTTGCCGGAGAGCTCATGGACTTTCAGACCTTCAACACCGAGGTCAAGCTCTTCAACTCCCAAGATGTTGTTCAAGCTGCAGCTCAAGATGATATGCGTCCGACGCGACGCCACTTGCTCCAGACATGCGACACAAGACTCCACGCTCTCGAGAATGAGCTCCACGCCTACATCACAGAGGAGCTGCATCAGCCTGAGCGCAAACGAGTGCTCTGGGAAGTCTACTGCGGTGGAGCACGCGTCTCAGCTCTTGCAGAAGCGATGGGCATGGACGTGGAGATCTTCAGCTATGAGACTGGCTGGGACTTCGACTTGCAGGAGCACCAGGACATCTTCATGCAGAGGCTTCGAACGGAGATGCCCGACGAGGTCTATCTGGCACCTTCCTGTCACCTGTGGAGCCAGATGCAGAACCTTGCTGCCCGAACCGAAGCCCAGCAGCACCAGCTCTACCTCAAGCGGAAGGAGCACCATGCATGCCACTTGATGTTTGTGGCCCGGGTCTGCAAGGAGCAAGTTGACAACGCGCGGCACGCGCACATCGAGCAGCCTGAACGAGCCTTGAGCTGGCACACAACAGCCTTGAAGGACTTGCCTGGCTACTGGATCCTCCTGCACCAGTGCATGTTCGGCTGCGCCTGTCTTGACCAAGATGGACTTTGGAAACTTGTGAAGAAGCCGACAGGAATCCTTTCAAGCAAGGTCTCCATGCAGGCCACATTGGCAAAACAATGCAATGGGCAACACTTGCACTGCCCTGTGGAGGGATCGGCACCTGGACTTGGCCGACGCACCTCCTACTTAGAGGATTACCAACCTGGCCTTGCAGCCACAATTGCAGCTGCCATCAACGCCCCAGACCCAGCTCAGCTTTGGGACTATGGACTTGCAGTCGCTGAGCAGAAAGAGGTCACTGGGTGCCTTGTGAAGCTCCAGACGGCCTTGAAGACCGAAGCAGTTCGCACCGTGCAGCGCCTCCTGCACAGGAACCTTGGGCATCCAAAACCTGAGGCATTGGTCGAACTTCTTCAAAGCCGAGGAGCCAGTGACCAAGTCATTGAGGCAGCTCGCCACTTCCAATGCACTGCATGCCTGCGCTACAAGCGACCCAACCAGGTGGCGCCTTCGACACTGCGAAACCAAGCCCATGAGGTTGGAGAACGTTTGCAGGCCGATGTGCTGTGGATCAAATGCAATGCCAGTGCCAAGAAGTTCCCCGTCCTCAGCATCATCGACCAGGCCACGAAATACACCGTGGCGACGTTGCTTCATGGAGAACGTGGTGAACATCTAATCCATGGACTTGAACGAGCCTGGATCAGGCACTTTGGACTTCCTCAATGCCTGTGCTCAGATGAAGGACGTGGTTGGGTTGGTGAAGAGATGAATGCATGGACCACCCAACACTCTGTGGAGCACATTGTTGCCCCTGCTGAGTCCCATCGCTTGGCACTTGTGGAGCGCCGGCACACCACCTTGCGCCGAGCCATTGAGATCTACATGGATGACATGAAGGTCTCTGGAAGCAAAGGCATTCGGCAGGCGCTGACCTACGTGGTGCCCCAGCTCAACGACACCTTGAGCGTTGCTGGCTTCACGCCTTCACAGTGGCTGCTTGGAAAGATCCAACGTTTGCCTGGTGGACTTTCACATGATGGACTCAGTCCTGCACAGCTTGGAGACCATGACCAATTCGAACAACTTCTACGTCAACGAGCTGCAGCAAAGAAAGCACTGATCTCTACTGATCTTGACGCCAAGCTCAGACGGGCCCTGCTGTGCCAATATCAGGGAGCCGACTTGCCCCTGCAGATTGGCCAGAAGTGTTTCTTCTGGAGAGACCAACGCCAGGACAAGCTGGTCAAGATCCGTTGGCATGGCCCTGCACGGATTGTGATGGTCGAGTACTCCAAAGATGACAAGCCCGAGCTCTACTGGCTCTCCTACAAGACCCAGCTGATCAGATGCTCACCGCACCACGTGCGCGCTGACTTCACTGCAGCCGACACCCAACTGGCTGATGCTCAGGAAGCTCGACGAGAGGTGGCAACTCTTCGCTCTCGAGGCGTGACACGCTTCTTGGACCTCGACAAGGTCAACAAGCGGCACCACCCTGATGAACTCAACGATGATGAAATGGCTTCTGGTTCCGAGCCAGATGATGATGCGGGGGGTGGAGATGATCTACAACCTCCTTCACGACGACAGCGAACCACCTATGACATGATCCCGCAGGATGAACCCTCCTTTGAGGAAGCTATGGATCAGATGCAGCAACAGCTGGACCGAGAACGACAGCAGAACCAGGATGACGAGCTCTACGAGCCCAGCTTGGCACCAACGTCCCCAGCGGACACTCCTGCGGAGCACCCTGAGTTCCCTGGCCAAGCACAACCTCCTGTTCTACCTGCACCAGCTGATCCTGCTCTACTGGCTCCTGATCCAGTTCCACAACCATCTGCACTGATCAACATCGACGAGCCTGAGCCCAACCGAGAACCATCGACGATGGCAACAGCCCCAAACACACCGATGGACACTGCAGATCCTCCTCCACTACAACCTCCTGCTGTGACTTCCACTGACATGAATCTCTACGAGCCTGCTACAGCTC